ACATAGGTATACACGTGCCATGGTGGTTTGCTACATCCATCAACCCATCAACTAGGTTTTAAGCCCAGCATGCATTAGGTATTTCTCCTAATGCTCTCCCTCCCATTGCCCCCCACTCCCCAACAGGCTCCGATATGTGAGGTTCCCCTCCCTATGTCCATGTGTACTCATTGTTCAACTCCCACTTATGAGTGAGAACATGGGGTGTTTGGCTTTGTGTTCCTGTGTTAGTTTCCTGAGAATGATGGTTTCCAGCTTCATCCATGTCCCTGCAAGGAACATGAACTCATTCTCTTTTATGGCTGTGTAGTATTCCATGGTGTATAAGTGCCACATTTTCTTTGTCCAGTCTATCATTGATGGGCATTTGGGTTGGTTCCAAGTCTTTGCTATTGTAAATAGTCCTGCAGTAAACATACATGTGCATATGTCTTTTTAGTAGAATAATATATGATCCTTTGACTATATACCCAGTAATGGGATGGCTGGATCAAATGGTGTTTCTGATTCTAGATCCTTGAGAAATTGCCACACTGTCTTCCACAATGGTTGCACTAATTTACATTCCCACCAACACTGTAAAAGCATTCCTATTTCTCTCCTATTTCTCCACATCCTCTCCAGCATCTGTTGTTTCTTGATGTTTTTTAATGATTGCCATTCTAACTGACATAAGATGGTATCTCATTGTGGTTTTGTTTTACATTTCTCTAACGACCAGTGATGATGAGCTTTTTTCATAGGTTTGTTGGCCACACAAATGTCTTCTTTTGAGAGATGTCCATTCATATCCTTTGTCCACTTTTTGATGGGGTTGTTTTTTTCTTGTAAATTTGTTGAAGTTCTTTGTAGGTTCTAAATATTAGCCCTTTGTCAGATGGATAGATTGCAAAAATTTTCTCCCATTCTGTAGGTTGCCTATTCAATCTGGTGATATAGTTTCTTTTGCTGTGCAGAAGCTCTGAAGTTTAATTAGATGCCATTTGTCAATTTTGGCTTTTGCTGCCTTTGCTTTTGGTTTTAGTCATGAAGTCTTTGCCCATACCTACGTCCTGAATGATATTACCTAGGTTTTCTTCTAGGGTTTTTATGGTTTTAGGTTTTACATTTAAGTCTTTAATCCACCTCTAGTTAATTTTCATATAAGGAGTGAGGAAGGGGTCCAGTTTCAGTTTTCTGCATATGGCTAGCCAGTTTTCCCACCACCATTTATTAAATAGGAAATCTCTCCATTGCTTGTTTTTGTTAGGTTTGTCAAAGATCAGATGGTTGTAGATATTTGCCGTTATTTCTGAGGCCTCTGTTCTGTTCCATTGGTCCATATCTCTGTTTTGGTACCAGTACCGTGCTGTGTTGGTTACTGTAGCCTTGTAGTATAGTTTGAAGTCAGGTAGTGTGATGCCTCCAGCTTTGTTTTTTTTTATGTTTGTTTTTGTTTGTTTGTTTGCTTGCTTGCTTAGGATTGTCTTGTCTATATGGGCTCTTTATTGGTTCCATATGAAATTTAAAGTAGCTTTTTCTAATTCTGTGAAGAAAATCAGTGGTAGCTTGGTGGGGATAGCATTGAATCTATAACTTACTTTGGGCAGTATGGCCATTTTCATGATACCAATTCTTCCTATCTATGAGCATGGAATGTTTTTCCATTTGTTTGTGTCCTCACTTATTTCCTTGAGCAGTAGTATGGAGTTCTCCTTGAAGAGGTCCTTCACGTCCCTTGTAAGTTGTATTCCTAGGTATTTTATTTCTTTGTAGCAATTGTGAATGGGAGTTCACTCATGATTTGGCTCTCTGTTTATTATAGTCTGTTTGTATATTATAGTGCAATATTGCACATTGATTTTGTATCCTGAGACTTTGCTGAAGTTGCTTATCAGCTTAAGTTTTTGGGCTGAGGTGATGGGGGTTTTCTAAATATACAGTCACGTCATCTGCAAATAAAGACAATTTGACTTCCTCTTTTCCTAACTGAATACCCTTTATTTCTTTTTCTTTCCTGATTGGCCTGGCCAGAACTTCCAATACTATGTTGAATAGGAGTGCTGAGAGAGGGCATCTTTGTTTTGTGCCAGTTTTCAAAGGGAATGTTTCTAACTTTTGCCCATTCAGTATGATATTGACTATGGGTTTTTCATGGATGGCTCTTATTGTTTTGAGATATGTTCCATCAATACATAGTTTATTGAGAATTTTTAGCATGAAGCATTGTTGAATTTTATCAAAGGCCTTTTCTGCATCTGTTGAAATAATCATGTGTTTTTTATCTTTGGTTCTGTTTAAGTGGTGGATTATGTTTACTGATTTGCATATGTTGAACAAACTTTGCATCCCAGGGATGAAGCTGATTTTATTGTGGTGGATAAGCTTTTTGATGTTCTGCTGGATTCGGTTGTCAGTATTTTATTGAGGATTTTTGCATCAATGTTTATCAGGGATATTGGCCTGAAATTTTCTTGTTTTGTTGTGTTTCTGCCAATTTATGGTATCAGGATGATGCTGGTATCATAAAATGAGTTAGGGAGGATTCCCTTTTTTTCTATTGTTTAGAATAGTTTCAGAAGGAATGGTACAAGCTCCTTTTTGTACCTCTGGCAGAATTTGACTACGAATATGTCTGATCCTGTGCTTTTTCATTGGTAGGTTATTAATTGCTGCCTCAATTTCAGAACTTGTTGTTGGTCTATTCAGGAATTTGACTTCTTCCTGGTTTAGTGTTGGGAGGGTGTATGTGTCCAGGAATTTATCCATTTCTTCTAGATTTTCTAGTTTATTTGCATAGAGGTGTGTACAATATTCTCGATGGTAGTTTGTATTTCTGTGATATCAGTGGTGATATCCCCTTTATAATTTTTTATTGTGTCTATTTGATTCTTCTCTCTTTTCTTCTTTATTAGTCTGGCTAGCAGTCTATCTGTTTTGTTGATCTTTTCGAAAACCAGGTCCTGGATTCATTGATTTTTTTGAAGGGTCTTTTGTGTCTCTATCTCCTTCAGTTATGCTCTGATCTTTCTTATCTTCTGCTAGCTTTTGAATTTGTCTGCTCTTGCTTCTCTAGTTATTTTAATTGTGATGTTAGGGTGTCAATTTTAGATCTTTCCTGCTTTCCCCTGTAGGCATCTCCTGTGCTATAAATTTACCTCTAAACACTGCTTTGGCCATGTCTGAGAGATTCTGGTACATTGTGTCTTTGTTCTCACTGGTTTCAAAGACCTGATTTATTTCTGCCTTAATTTCATTATTTACCCAGTAGTCATTTAGGAGCAGGTTGTTCTGGTTCCATGTAGTTATATGGTTTTGAGTATGTTTCTTAATCCTGAGCTCTAATTTGATTGCATTTTGGTCTGGGTGACTACTATGATTTCCACTCTTTTGCATTTGCTGAGGAGTGTTTTACTTCCAATTATGTGATCAATGTTGTGCTGAGAAGACAATGTATATTCTGTGGGTTTGGAGTGGAGAGTTCTGTAGATGTCTGTTAGGTCTGCTTGGTCAAGAGCTGAGTTCAAGTCCTGAATATCCTTGTTAAGTTTCTGTCTCATGGATCTGTCTAATATTGATAGTGGGGTGTTAAAGTCTCCCACTACAATCTCTCAACATTTGCTCATTTGTAAAGGATTTTATTTCTCCTTCACTTATGAGGCTTTGTTTGACTGGATATGAAATTCTGGTTTGAAAATTCTTTTCTTTAGGAATGTTGAGGCTGGGCGCGGTGGCTGTTGCCTGTAATCCCATCACTTTGGAAGGCCGAGGCGGGTGGATCATGAGGTCAAGAGATCAAGACCATCCTGGCCAACATGGTGAAACTTCGTCTCTACTAAAAATACAAAAATTAGCTGGGTGTGGTGGCATGCGCCTGTAGTCCCAGCTACTCAGGAGGCTGAGGCAGGATAATTGTTTGAACCCTGGAGGCAGAGGTTGCAGTGAGCCAAAATTGCACCACTGCACTCCACCCTGGCACCTGGTGACAGAGCGAGACTCTGTCTCCAAAAAAAGAATGTTGAATATTGTCCCCCACTCTCTTCTGGATTGTAGGGTTTCTGCAGAGAGATCCACTGTTAGTCTGATGGGCTTCCCTTTGTGAGTAACCCAACCTTTCTCTCTGGCTGCCCTTAACATTTTTTCCCTCATTTCAACCTTGGTGAATCTGATGATTATGTGTCTTGGGGTTGCTCTTCTCGAGGAGTATCTTTGTGGTGTTCTCTGTATTTCCTGAATTTGAATGTTGGCCTGTCTTGCTAGATTGGTGAAGTTCTCCTGGATAATATGCTGAAGTGTGTTTTCCAACTTGATTCCATTCTCCCCATCACTTTCAGGTACACCAATCAAACGTATGTTTGGTCTTTTCACATAGTCCCATATTTTTTGGAGGCTTTGTTCATTTTTTTAAATTCTTTTCTCTCGAGTCATATCTTCACACTTTATTTCATTAAGTCGATCTTCAATATCTGATATCCTCCTTCTGCTTGATCAATTCAGCTATTGATACTTATGTATGCATCACGAAGCTCTCATACTGTGTTTTTCAGCTCCATCAGGTCATTTATGTTCTTCTCTAAACTAGTTATTCCAGCTAGCAATTCGTCTAACCTTTTTTCAAATTTCTTAGCTTCCTTGCATTGGTTAGAACACCATTTTCATTTTAAAGATTAACCTTAAAGAAATAATTTCAGAAGTGGAAGAAGCTATATGCCCACAAGTGTTTGTTTTTGAAGTACTTAGAGTAGTACAAATTTTGGAATATCTTCAATGTCTTTCAATAGGAAAATTATATAAATTCTGATAATATATAAAATGTATTATTATTATGTACTCATCACACTTGTAACTTTACATATAATGAAATTATTTGCTTCACTGTATCTCTCTGTCCATAGACGATGGAGTCCTTAAGATTAAGAATGTCCAAGTTTGTCTCTAGCAACTAGCTCATTTCCTGGTAGGCACTCAATACATACGCATTGAACAAGCAAATGAACTTAGGTATCTCTTTACCTTAATAGGCTGGAAGTGATGGAGAGAGTATTGGAAACTGTCCCTTTTGCCAACGCCTTTTCATGATCCTCTGGCTTAAAGGAGTTAAATTCAATGTGACAACTGTTGACATGACCAGGTAAGAGAAATGAGGACATGTTAAATTCTAGAAATTGAGATTGGTAGACACCAAAATAATATTGATGTTTATATAATGTGTACTTTACCTAGAGACCTAACTCTGCTTATTTTTAATAATCACAGAAAGCCTGAAGAGCTGAAGGACTTAGCCCCAGGTACCAATCCTCCCTTCCTGGTGTATAACAAGGAGTTGAAAACAGACTTCATTAAAATTGAGGAGTTTCTAGAGCAGACCCTGGCTCCTCCAAGGTACAGCATTTATAAGATACTATTTTGCTGAAGATAATCTATGTTATTGGCTTGTTTATTACGGATTGAGGATTCTTACCAATTTAAGTACTTTTGGATTTCTGGGCCTACATGTCAAGTGATATACATGCATGAACATCCCCCTCCAACTTCAAATACAAAAAGATGATACATATAATATTTCAAACAATTTTTAAAAGATGTATAACATACATAACACAAGAATGTAAGTTCTCTGTGGTCTAGAAATAGAGTAGAAACATATAGTGAGATGGGAGTGAAGGAGTAGGGTACTAACACTATGTAATGCGTAAGGACTCATCAGGACTTGTCCTTAACACCACTGATGAAATGACAGAACATACCCAACACAAAGGCTAGTGGCCAGGAAATAGACCTCAAGCAGTTAACCAAAGGCCAGAACTGTACTGCATACACTGGAATGACAACTGCACATCTCTGTCTACCCAAGATAGGTCTAAAAAACAAGAAGCATGCTGTATTCATTTTCTACTGCTGTATAACAAATTACCACAAATTTTGTATCTTAAAACAACAGCCATTTATTATCTCATGCTTTCCATTGGTCCATTGTCTGGGCATGGTCTGCTAAGGTCTTCTGCTCAGGGTCTCAAAAACTGCACTCAAAGTGTTGGTGAGGAATGCAGTTCTCATATGGGACCCAGGTAACTCTTCCATCTTCATTCAAGTTTTTGGCAGAATTAAGTTCCTTGCAGCTATATGACTGAGGTCTTACATTACTGGGTAGCTGTTGGTTGGGGTTGGCGTTCAATTCTTAGAGGTTGCTCCTCTGTATAGGTGGTTCACAAAATAGCTGATTTTCCTCTTCTTCTAAAACCTACAGGAGAATGTCTCTCTGATGGTTCATCTTCTTTTAAAAATTTTTATCAGTACAAATTATGGGATACATATGAAATTATGTTATGTGTATGTAATGCATAGCAATCAAGTCAGGGTATCTAGGGTGTCTATAACCAAAGTACAATACATTTTTATTAACTATAGTTACCCTACTCTTGTATTAAACATTGAATTTTTTCCTTCTATCTTATATTTATGTGTGTACTTTTTAACCCACTTCTCTTCATCTTCCCTTCTCCTCCAAATCACCCTCCACACTCTTTGTTACCTATCTTTCCATTCTTTATCTTCATGTGATCTACCTAAGTGTCCATAAACAGATAAATGGATAAAGAAAGTGTGGTATACATATACAGTGAAATAGTATTCTTCCATAAAAGAAACTAAGGCCCAAAGAAACTACACACTTGCCAGGATCATTCAGTTCTCTCTGGCCCTAACAGCTGCTGCTTTTGTCTCCTGTTCTAATGCCAAACATAAGACTTTCCATAGCAACATTGCTGGAGACCACAAAAGGGGATTGTATCAAATAGAAGATGAAACAAAGTCTTAGGAAAAGACATTCAATCTCAAACATATTCCAAATCTTCCCACCAATACTACTCTAATCCAAGCAAGCGTTAGCTTGGATTGCTTGGATTAGAGTGATTGGTAGGAAGTATCTCACCTTAATTTCCACAACGGCCTCCTAACTGACATTTTTGCTTCCATTCCTTGCTTTGTCATCCATTCTCCAGAGTGAGCCTCTAGCCAAACATATCTTTTAAAATCACAAATTCAATTATAATGTCCCCTGCTTAAAATTTTCTAACAGCTTTCTTTTACTTTAGAATATAATCTGAACACTTTACAATGTCCTACATGATCTAGCTCCTTCCTACCTTTGGTTCTATTTTCTCTTATCCCTCAATACTCTTCCTCTTACTCACTGTACTCTAGATCTACTGACATATTCTTTCATCGAACACACCAAGCTCTTTCACACTTCACAGACTTTGCACTAGCTGTTCAGGGGTTGGGGGACAAGACTTCAGCCTTTCAACATGAGGTACTATGTTAGCTATAGATTGTTGTAGATGTTCTCTATCATTTTAAGGCATCAACTGGATTTTACGACTAATAAATACATTTATTTCTAGAACTTTTATTTAATTCTTTAATAAATTTACTTATTTTATGCCCTTTTTTGCTTTTTGGATTGCAATTCTATTTCTTTTTAACATTTTTCCTATGATGTTCTTTTTTTTTCTTACTTGTAAAACTTCCTTTCCACCACATTTTCATTTACAGATCAAAACTGTCAGATCTTTCATGTATTTATACACATATTAAATATACTGACTTTGTCCTTCAGCATTAATATAAGATTAATGACTCAGTAGTTTCCCTATGGTGCCTGGTATTTATTAAGCAGGATTATTTTATGACAACTCTGTGTCATTTACTATATATGCTTAAATTCAACAAATTATTAAGTGTAAACAGAAGGTTCTTTTATTAGTCCATTATTTTTCCTCCCTAAGGAACTAAGGATCCTCCTCTACAACTCTGCCCTTCACAAAGCTTTGCAACCTACTTTTGCTCCCATGGTAACCAGTGAAAAATATCCATTGTGTATCTTTCTATTCCTTTTTCTATGTTCATATAAGCATAATAATAAGTATAATTTACTTCATAAATATTCCATCTTGCTTACATCCTTCAACTGTACTGGTGCAAATTTAACTTAGTCTTTTAATGGCTACATAATAGTCCATGTAACAGATGTGCTACAAATTGCTAAACTGTTCCCTTACTGATGAGCATTCTTTCTTCCCATTTTTTTACTACAAATAATATCTTTGTTCACATGTGCATACATACTGGTGATTTTGTGCCTATGGAATAAAATCCAAGGAGTGAAATTCAGCTGATATATCTATTTTTTTAATTTCTGCTTTATTCAGCATACCCTTTTCCCACATATCTGTAATACGAGACATTAGCACTCTTTTTATATCTGTGCCAACATAACAGGTATAGTGATAGCTCATTGATACTTAACTTGCATTTCCTTGGATAATAGGAAGCATCTTACCTATGTTGATTTATCATTTGGTTTTGTTCTTCTGTTAATCATCTTGTCAAACCCTCCTAATTTTCTATTACCTGAGTATCAGTTAGGAATCATATTCAGTTGCAGAAACCCAAAAAGTAGTGGTTTAAATAAATATGGGTTTTCCACAGCCAACATCATACTGAATAGACAAAAGCTGGAAGCATTCCCTTTGAAAACAGGCACAAGACAAGGATGCCCTTCTTACCACTTTTATTTATTTATTTATTTATTTTTAATATGTATTTTATTGTGTTTTAGGTTTGGGGGTACATGTGAAGAACATGAAAGATTGTTGCATAGGTACATACATGGCAATGTGGTTTGCTGCCTTCCACCCCATCACCTATATCTGGCATTTCTCCCCATGTTATCCCTCCCCAACTCCCCACCCACTGTTGTCCCTCCCCTATTTCCCCCCAACAGACCCCAGTGTGTAGTGCTCCCCTCCCTGTGTCCATGTGTTCTCATTGTTCAACGCCTGCCTATGAGTAAGAACATGTGGTGTTTGATTTTCTGTTCTTGTGTCAGTTTGCTGAGAATGATGGTTTCCAGGTTCATCCATATCCCTACAAAGGACAAGAAGTCATCATTTTTTATGGTTGCATAGTGTTCCATGGTGTATATGTGTCTTACTTAAAATAGTATTGGAAGTCCTAGCCAGAACAATCAGGCAAGAGAAAGTGATAAAGAGCATGTAAATAGGAAGACAGGAAGTCAAACTATCCCTGTTTGCAGATGATATGATTCTATATTTAGAAAAACCCAGAGTCTCAACCCAACAGCTCCTTCACCTGATATAAACAACTTTGGCAAAGTTTCAGGATGCAAAATCAATGTACAAAAATCATTAATATTTCTATACATCAACAACTGCCAAGCTGAGAGCCCAGTCAGGAAGGCAATCCCATTCACAATTTCCATACAAAAAATAAAATACCTGGGAATACAGCTAACCCAGGAGGTAAAAGATATCTACAATGAGAATTACAAAACACTGCTCAAAGAAATAAGAGAAGACAAAAACAAATGAAAAAATATTCCATGCTTATGGATAGGAAGAATCAATATCGACAAAATGACCATACTACCCCAAGCAATCTAAAGATTCAAAGTTATTTCTATCAAACTAACAATGACATTCTTCACAGAACTAGAAAAAACTATTTTAAAATTCATATGAAACCAAAAACAAGCCCAAATAGCCAAGGCAATTCTAAGTAAAATGAGCAAAGCTGGAGGTATCACATTAGCCAACTTCAAACTATACTTCAGGGCTACAGTAACCAAAACACAGCATGGTACTGATACAACGCCTGTAATTCCTGCACTTTGGGAGGTTGAGGCAGGTGGATTACCGGAGGTCAGCTGTTCCAGATCAGCCTGGCCAACATGGTGAAACCCCATCTCTACTAGAAATACAAAAGGTAGCCAGGTGTAGTGGCACACACCTGTAATCCCAGCCATTCAAGAGACTGAGACAGAAGAATTACTTAAACCTGAGAGGCAGAGGTTGCAGTGAGATGAGATCACGTCATTGCACTCCAGCCTGCGCAACAGAATGAAACTCTGTCTAAAAAAGAAAAAAAAAAAAAAACCCGGGCACATAAACCAATGGGATATAATAACATAATACAGAGCCCAGTAATAAGGCTGCACACCTATGACCAAATGATTTTTGACAAAGCTGACAAAAACAAGCAATGGGGAAAACACCCCCTATTCAATAAATGGTGCTGGGATAACTGGCTAGTCATATACAGATGATTGAAGCTGGACCTGTTCTTTACACCATAGACAAAAATTAAGAGGGATTCAAAACTTAAGTGTAAAACCCAAAACTTCAAAAACCCAGAAGTCAACCTAGACAATATCATCCTGGACATAGGAACAGGCGAGGATTTCATGACAAAGATGTCAAAAGCGATTGCAACAGAAGCAAAAATTGACAAATGGGATTTAATTAAAGTAAAGAGCTTTTACACAGCGAAAGAAACTATCAACAGAGTAAACAGACAACCTA